TACTATTTTTCTTTCTTTTATTACTATTTTTTTTTCTGTAGAAAAAGGAAAAGAGAAGAGATGATTGAAGAAAGCTGGTTTATTCCCTACACTTTCTGGTGTCCTGACAATCTCACAGCGTCTACTGATGGTGTCATCCCTTCCAAGATGGAAAGCCAAGATGTGACTTATGGTCAGGAGGGAGGTAGAGCCTCTTGTTCCAGAAGCCCAGGTAGCATCCACCAACCCCCAGTTCCCCCCCACAAGCATCTCAAGCCTTTGGGAACATTTGAGAAACCCTCATCCTTATTCAAAGCCTAGGACTCCCTCTGGTCTGAGAGAAGAGGAGCTGCTTACTTAAATTGTCGTCATCTTCTGGATTTGTGGCACCAGGGCTTAGGTACTTGAAGGGAGCGATGAAGGTTGACAATATGCTTACTTTGTCTGGAAAGAAAAAGAGAACAGGAAATGCACTTTTGACACAGAGTTTCAGAAGAACTCAATGCTTTCATATGTTCTTATTACTGATGTGTTGGACAAGGAAGGTTGAAAGGTCATTTTGGTTTCAACCACTTAATTCTGGCTCAGTCTTTTATTGAATTTCTGACAGCATTTCATAAAATTCCTTTCCCCATTCAATCATAAGCCTAACAATGTCTATCTTTCTTATTTTCTTTTGGAATTACCCTCTTCTTACTCCCTGTCCCTTAAAAATTTTATTTTCTCCAGAATCTTAACAAGCATCTGCTTGTAAGATTGGGGAGTAGAAAATAGCCTACCATACTGAGGCTCTTTATACAGAATGGAATCTAAAGAAATTTTTTGAAATCCACAATTGAAGAATAATGTGTATAAATCAAAGATGATTTTTTTATCCTAAGTGGGAGAAAACAGGACATGGAGGCATAGGACAGTGAACATCTCTCTGAATGAGCAAAAGGGAGTAATAGCACAGCTCCTCGCTGTCCCAGACAGAGAGCTTGTAGCCCAGCTCCATGGTGCCTCTTGAGCCACATCAACAGTAAGAGGTTCATTTATTCAGTGTTGACACATAGACTTACAGTTGGGGTACTGAGAATGAGGTTTATTAAGGAAGTAAGTTGGAGAGTATGGGAGGCAAAGAATATCCCCCAATACAAGTCCAGGTTTTAGCCCAAATCCCCAGGCACAATTCCTCAATTATTCTAGGCTCTGGTTCCAGTTTAACAGCAAGGTTTGCCTTAGAGCAATTGTAAGTCAGCTTCTCCTTCAAGCATCCAGCAAGAACTCCAAAAACCTTTAACTGAGGCCTTTATCTCAGGCCTCCTTTGCTTACATCTTGCCAGAGTGTATTCACAGCAATGACATACATTTTCCACAACAATACCACAGTCTCTCCAACATTAGGTAGGGTCTCTGTTTCCCCAAGATCTTGCTGTAATCTCCCTCGACTCTTTCTGCCACCAATCTTGTTCATTTCAAGTCTTGCTGTCCAGTGTGGAAATTACTCTTTCTCTTATCTTTGTCTCACAACTGTTGTTGATTTGCAAGACCATGTATCTACAGGACCAGAGAGGGCTATCCATAATGTCTAAAAAAAAAAGAGCCAACTTTTAGCACCACAATTCCTGTGTGGTGAATTTGCTTGGTGAACTTGAATTGTGAGAGGGGAAAGGATTTATCATAAACAATGACCAGGTGACTTTTTAAGGGCCTGAGTAGAAGTAAAACAATGGGTGAGAAGAAGCAATAGGTGGAAGAGGAAGGAGAACAAAGTGGGGGGGGGGTGTGAGAAGTCAGGGAGGGCCATGGGAACACCTCTCTATAGTTTACTATAGAGAATTTACTATAGGGAATTGGCAAGTATAATTAAAGGGATGAAAGAACAGGTGTATTTCCTATATACAATCTCTTAACTATGGTTAAAACTCAAACTCAGTGACAATGAGAAAGAGCTGACCTTCCTTCAAAGAGTTTTAAAGACTGTAATTCACATAAGAGGAGATTGCCCATCTTTGTCCTGCAGAGCTTAACTGCCAGAGAGATGTATGACCTTTCGGTTAACAGCTTCACTCCTTATAGACTATGCTACCAGAGAAAAACAAAACAAAACAAAAACAAACAAAACACAACAACAAAAAACACCAAAAACATCCAATCATTTCTGTCCAGTCAACCTCCACTCTGGACAATCTAGTATGCAGCAGAGTAAAACTATGCTCCATAAAGTTTTTGTACTCATCCTTTCATTGTCCTTTAGTAAGAACAGATTCATAGCTGACCTTCTAGCAGGTTTTGAGAAGTAGTATTAAGAAGCTGCACTGCAATCCAAAAGACATATGATTTAAATGCACCAGCTGCTCCTCAGAAGGACGTACAATCTCCTCCCATGCAACTTATAGTCTCTGAAAATCTGCTGGAGGGTCAGCTTTGGGTTGGTCCTGACATGATGGCACACAATGACAGTATGTCACACAGAAGGAGATTCCCTCCTCTCTCTCTTGAAGCAGCTGGTGGATTTGAACTGCCTGCCTTTGAGTTGGCAGCACAACCCTTTACCTACTAGCTAGAGCTATTAGAATTAGAGAGCTCATTTTCTCTTCCAAGGTGCTTCTGGGTGGACTTTGCTTAAGGTGGCAAGACTCTGCTTAAAATAGCAATACATGGAGACATTAATCAACCATGCTTGTTCCTGCATTCTCTGAGTGCAGAGTGTGAAGCACCAGAGACTTTGAAAATGGTCCAGACTAAGAGGTGCCTGAAGTCACCAATAAGAGTTTTTCATGGTCTCTAAAGATGAGAAAGGAATAATAAATTAGTGGTACTATTGGAATAATTTTTAAAAAATATGACAAAAATGGCCCAAAGAAAAGTTCCATAGTTTAGAGATCCCCATCTGCAAAAGTAAACTCTTGTAATATTGCTCATAAATAGCATTTACTCAAAACAGAAGTGATTTCAACACTGAGTTCTCAGAATATTACCCCTCATCTCTACTTTTTTACTTCCTGCAAGTAAGCACAATTAATTACATTACATTACATTACATTACATTGTAAATCTTGACCATACATATGTTAAAGAAATATTGATATTGGAACTAATAAAATATCACTATTATTAAATGTGGTACAGGATTGCAACAGAACCATTTGCTATTATTCTTGCTGTTGTTATATGCCATCAAGTTAGTTGCCTATGACCCACAGTGACCCTATGTATGGCAGCTCTGAATTCTGCCCTGTCCTGAGCCAGTCTCACTTATTAAAATACCCTCATCACCCCAATTACTATATCAATCCATCTCATCTGGGGTCTTCCTCCCCTGTGCTGTCTCTCCACCTTACCAAGCATGATGTCCTGCTCCAAGGACTGGTCTTTCCTGGCCACGTGCCCAAAGTATGTGAGACAGAGCTTCAAAATCTTATTTTTCCTATTGTTTCCTAAAGCTGTCCAGAGCACATAGTCATGATGAAGTGGACACCTAGCTATGCAAGATGTTTCCATTTCTTTCTGAAGCCATCAACAGGAGCATAGATTTTTTTTAAGTGAGATTACTGTATTTACGTGATACAACTTTACAACTTTTTCTGTCAGAAGAGAGAACTGTTAAAAGCGTGCTTCCATTTGTGCACTGTGATCTAAATATGACTGCGTATGAAAGCAATAGCTGGTGGTTTTATACTCGGGTAGCCTCAGGAGTCCAGACCTATAGGTCTGGGACTTGCCTTTTTCCACCACTGAACCTGTTTTCTCTTTAGCCAAGCCTTCTAGAGGCCAGTAGAGTTCACATTGGAAATTCATTCAGGAGCCTGTTCACAGTTGTTTCCAAGACGGACAAGCAAGAATATAATGTTCACTCAAGAGAACAATAAATAAATATAAAATTCCTACTCCTTCCTTGATCTGGCAAACACTAAGTCCAGAGAAGGAATGGCTCTTTCCCTGGACCCTCACAGCCCAAACTAATTTACAACAAGAGAATGAAATATCTTGCTTGAGTTATAATTTCATTAAAGGAGTCCAATAATGCTACACAAAGAGTGTGAAGCTCAAATGATTTAGTCAGGAGGATCACAAAATGAAATTACAATCTTCCTAATAAAGCAAGGCTCCCAGCTAAACACCCACAAAAACACACCAAGCCCTGTCAGAGCTCACCTTAGCAAAATTGTGAAGTATTTGAAGACTATTTTAGACCTATCAATGTTCTTGCTTTTTACGGTTGCCGTATTTATCACATAAAACATGAGATACCCACCTATTGTGTGGGTCACACATACACTAAAACTATTCATGGTTCATGTGAAATTTAATCTGACTGGACATCCTGTATTTTCTCTGGCAACCCTATGTTACTTATCTTTACCAACTTCTCTTTTTTAGTGTGCACTGGAATTCAGATTGAGCAGGCGAGGTTTCATTAACAAAGTAGAAAACCAAGAAAGTTGCTAATATTTCTTGTTTTATAGGTAAATCTAAAACCATGACTGTTATCTAATGTAATTATTGCTTCAACAAAGAAAAAAATATTTAGCAATGAAATCACATAAGATCTGTGGGAAAAAGCAATTGTTTTGAGGAAAGGAAAGTCTTCATCTTTTGTATAATTAGGAAGGGGTTGAATAATTATTGTTATTTACTTGGAATATTTACAGTAAAATTATTTGAGGTCCATGTTTCCATGCTAAAACTTTGTTAGTTTTGAGATCTACATTTGATTGATTCCATATGAATCATTGTTATCAAGTTGGAACTGACACGTAGCTAATGAATTCTGTATGAATTCATTGTTATCAAGTTGGAACTGACACGTAGCTAATGAATTCCATATGAATTCATTGTTATCAAGTTGGAACTGACACGTAGGTAACCCACCACTGGTTACTTAAAAACTGTAAAGGGGGTTAGTGTTCTAGTGGCAAGAAGCTGCACGGCAATCCTGAAGGCACACTGTTCGAATTTCACCAGTAGCTCTGCAGGAGAAGGATGGGCAATCTATTCCAGTGAAATTAACACTTTGAAAACCTGCTGGAGGGTCAGCCATGGGTAGGTTCTGACTCAATGGTACACAAGAGCAAAGGAGGCGAGTCACCTGTCTCCTGCAGAGCCACTGGTAGACTCAAAACACCAGAGAGGCTCAGCCATATTATAGCGTTTTGCTTTCTTTAACTACCATCTTTTAAAAATCTCATTTCACCCAGGTTGCTGATTTGCATCATCAATGTGGATTACACTTTTTAAAATTTGAGACAGTTCAGGCCCAGTAAAGAGACTGATAAACACAATATATTGTTCCCAGTTACTTCCCCAAATGCTCAGTTTATTGTATGGAAAAAGGTCAGTGGCCTACCAGTTGTCTTTCTAGGAAGAGTAGTTGGAAGGGGATGCTGGGTTTTGCCTGCTCCTCAGCTCTGCCTGTCTTTGACCACACAGCTCAGGCTCAGACTGTGTAACATGAGAACGTAGAAATTGATCTAAGAGATGTAACAGGGACCTGGCTTTGGTGCAGGACAATACCTCATGCACCTGCCCTCTCTCCGGGACAGATTCTTTATCAGGAAAGATCTAATCACCATTACCCATATCACCGTATGACTTTTAACACATTCCTTGAAATATTTCAGGGAATTTGCATTGTAAACTTATTGCTCATGGAAGAATTAATGACTTAGGAATTAGGGGAAATGACTTTGTGCTTCTGGACAGCATGTGGGAAGTATTTTCAGGGCTTCAAAATATAGGTTCTAAAATTATTATTATTATTATTATTATTATTATTAGTAGTAGTAGTAGTATGTGGTCTAGTGGCAAGAAGCTGCACTGCAATCCCAAAAGCAGGCAGTTCAAATCCACCCGCTGCTCCACGGAAGGGCAATATGCTCCCATGAAATTAACTGCCTCTGATAATTTGTCGGATATCAACTATGGGTCGGTTCTGACTTGATGGTACACAACAACATTATATCACAGCAGTTTGTGAAAACGATGAAACTGGCCTTAAGTCTAAGATATGCT